TGATTTCATATTAAGGTGACACTTCTTCACTCATTCCCGTTGCTACCCAAGCTTCACCACTTACCTCAATCTTCAAGTTTTGATTGTGACTAAATCTTGCAAGAAATCTCTCAAAATCACCTGCGAGCAATCGTATTCCAAAAATATTTCGTTATGTTAATCGTTTTTTTCGGTACATTCCGTTTTCTATTATCACTGCCATTATTCTTTTATTGAATTGAATTTATCAAGTATCAATTCGTTTTCCTGTCGCGGTTTGAATGCATGATTGAATGCATTAACGTTTTTACAACTTTCAAGAATTTCAGCTTGTGTATCCAAATAATTTGTTTAAAAAATTCACCAGATGACTTTTTTTGGCTTAATATCATATTGAGTTCGCATAACTGTAACGATTTGCTATCGACACCCTCATACCAAGCGTACTGTTCTCAAAACGAGAAAGATCCTCACTAATAAAAGTAGAAACATATTTTCGGTACCATGAAATCGCGGTTGAATCTGAGCGCCAACGTCCTCGTCATCCTCGCCAATCAGCGGGTTCTCCTCGGGTGTGTGCTCACCACTCGAATAGGCCGGCGGTGGTCCTGAGGGGTATTCGAAACCACGATGACCTAAAACAATGATTTATTTGTCTTCTAGAGCAATTCAATATTTAACATCGATCAAAATTCACTTCATCAAATGATACGGAGAGAAGTCTTAAGAATTCATGGTTGTTTATCATTTGAAACTTTTTAAATGATATTCAAATATTTCTTGATGAAACCCCACAGTTTATTGAAATAATCCCATTGTTATTGGGATCAATTCAATGAATTGTGGTATTTCATCAAGATAAAACAGTTTATTGAATTAATCCCAACAATTGATCCCAAGATTTATTGAATTGATTCCATGATTTATTCCAATTCCGAGGAAAGGGTGACTGAGACTGTAACAAAAGTGGCGATAAATTTAACAGAGTATCTTATTTCCTTAAGATTGTCGAGGATAATCAACGTCATCCACCAGAAACGTACCAATAATTTCATCGTCTTCATCCAGAGGTTCGTTCGATATGGTGATTGACTGCTGATACGGGAGTGTCTGAATCAATATGAACATTCATCTCAATCTTATTTTAGAATTGAATAAGGCTTCAAAATTGAATAAGAACACAACTGAAAACGGATATAGCGGAATTGGTTTCAATGCTAAACGGAATTGCGCTGAATGGAATTTCACTCGTATTTTGATTCAGAATAGAATGTGATTGAATGTAATTTGACAGATTGTTCATTGTTGCGAAAGCTAAAATGAATGCGATCTAAAATTATTTGACTATGTCGGTGACGGAGATTCTATTCAATGCAACCAATCTAACACACAGTTCATTACGTTCAGCTTGGCTGAATTTTATAACCATCACTATATGATTGCTACCGGATAGAATTTGCTCCGGGAATCACCTCAAGAATTTTGAAGAGGGAAACGTGAGAAGATGGATGCTCGAAACATAAAAAATGATATTAACGGCAATAGCTAACCTGCATACGGCGATTTGGATCAGCGGGATCCTGTCGATTGCGTGATAGATCTATAAATGTTTCACTTTGAAGTCTTCAAAGAGCAAAACGGTTTTCGAGAGGGACATTCTCTTTCCTGATTGTTAGTCAAAAATTACAAAGTTTATTCATAAGACCATTAGAAAAACCATTTATGATACGAATTTTGCCAACTCAACTTTTATAGAATGTGAACATAATTCATAATTCATTACTGGCGTGGATGAATGAAGTCACTGAATGCATAACCTAAATGAATTCAAGCTCATGTTATTTCGATTGACCAATCAATGTCTCGTTCGGTCACGTCAAATCCAAAGTTCAGTCATCAATCGTTTTTTTAGTCATCCTTGAGATGAAACTTTGTCTTCTCTTGTTTCATCAACATGGAAGCCAAACGCTTCAACTATAATCTCCCCTCGATTTGAACAGGCTTACTGTTGTCGAAAAATAACGAAAATCTTATATTTCCCATCAACTTTATGAGTTTAGTGGTGAAATTCGTATGTGAATTTCATACCATTCATGTCGTTTTGATTTGCGCTTTCTGCATGGTGATCGTCTGAATCGTCGATCGTAAGTGACACACTAGTTTCGAAATCAGCTGGATTATGACTCAGATTACTAACTGGTATTAAATCCTCCAAATTAGTTGCTTTTTCCAACGGTATTGCTGGCTCAATAATTTCTTAAACATAACAATGCATCAGCTGCGATACATGCAATAACAACGGAATGTACCTATGGAAGAGAGTTCAAAACGTTGCAACTAGTTGATGCTGAAACTTTGAAAAAATGCATTTCTTATGATAGTCGATGTTATTTTGATCTCAGTAAATCATGCAATCCCAATTTAACAATCCACATAACCACTGTAGACGCTCAGATAAGCTGTTGATATCCGTATTGTCCGAATAGATGAGGCCGGACTGCAGCGATAATGGAAGATTACAAGTCCGTCAAATTAGCTCATAGAGCAGTTTTCAATGAATGCAATCACCCAACATTACATGTTCAACAAACCGTTACCGGATGTGCCGGTTGTTAACGCTTTGGATTGTGCCATGTCAACAGGATCTTCAGCATCCGACTTCGGAGTTCGCGATGAACGCAGTGGACTCGCACCACGGATCGGTTCCTCCTCGTCTGAGTCAAAACACGGTGGAACTACCACTTCTGGATGGCCATATATACCCTAAAGAATTTGATCGCATTGGTGATACCTCTATTCCGAATGAAATTCTCAATTCCATTACATTCACTTAGAACAAAGCAAAACATTTTTATCGCAGAATAATGTATAATAGAACATTATTGAAAATCTTGGGTATGGCAACATTTAAGAAAGAAATGATTTCAACGAAGCGAGTGCACAACGGAACAGAACAGCTGAAAGTCAGAACAGAATAGAATAAATCGCCCAAAGTATATTATATAGACATCCTTAGATCAAATAGCGTTGATGGATCATTTCACGATCAGTCAGCTTTGCACATGAGACACGCTGTATCAACTATTGGATTATTCCTGACATTCCCGAGAGCTGAGATTCATTGCGCTCGTCAACCGAACCTTTTCTTCTAATAATCGATACATTTTGAATGGTGAAGCTTATGAAATTCAATCCTTCATAAGTCTTTGAAATACTTCGTTAAAACAAGCTCCCATCAAAAAACTTGCTAGAATTTGATGACAACGGCAGAAATGATCAATGGGCCGGTCAAGCAAGTCAAGCTACTAGCCTTATCCTCTTCCAGACCAACGATTTGCCGATGTCGTTGATCGTCCTGGTTCTCTTCACTGCTATCACTGATACGTTCACGAGTTGGCCGATAAAGTTGCGATCCTTTCTGCGACTCTGAGGAACCACATTTGGTTCCACTACCATTACAACCTTCCATGCTCGAAATGCACCGGTTAGCTACAGCGTTGATCCGGGGTGAGTTCGGTTGCTTCGGATTATTCGTTTAAGATGGAGATTTTCCGCTCCAAAGAAAATAGCAAATTTGTGTACGCAAACTGAAACGTTCATGTTTTGTTGACTTTAAGATCATGCAATGATCTGAAACGATCACACCACTCATTGCTCTCGTATGCTCAAATTACTTATTGCTCAGAACTCACAAATGAATATCTGGAATTGCTGTGACTCGTGAGTTTCTGTCAGTAAGAACAATCTCATCCTTCGCACTACAGATATGAAAACATTCCTCGACTTTTTGCCGGTGACCACCGATGGGTATATTTGGTGCGCATATTTGGTCGTTTGGCCGATTTCAACCTAATTCTGCTTCAAACGCGTTCAGCAACCGTTCAGCTCGAAAAACGCTGCTAATGTAATCAGCCTCGCAGCGAATCCATCAATACACTTCACTTCAGCGAATATTGCCTTTTTTTCTATTTTCATTGAGATTTTCCTATTAATGGATCTATCAGGAAATCTTGGAAGCCATTTAGGTGGAGTTAGACTAAAAGTTTTTGGATGAACTAAATTCATACCAAATTTGACCATATGACCCCAAATTCCATATCAGTTCATTTTACAAACTATGCAAAACATCGAACATGAAAGAGTTGATAAATTCAAGTAGCGAATCATTTGACAGCCAGACCGGCTGGATTACTGAAGGATTACGCGGAATATACTCACTCCACTGACAATGAGCTCAGTAGAGGTATGTTGCTATGGTAATCGGCTAACTGCACACTGACTAAATAGCATCACTATGAAGCCAATTGATATACATATGCTGCAAAGGTGTCAACAAAAAACCAAGAGCAATTGTACTTCTGATCTCGTGAATTGGTAACATGTTTGGTTGGTACGAGAGGATTTACACTGCATAAACTGCGATAAATTTGTACTTAGTCATTTTTAACCATAACAATCAAGGTTATTTTCCTGAAGAATCTCACCATTTCTATAATCTAACCCAAACCTGTTGAATTAAAATTTTTCACGATCCAATCGCATTCATCCGAACGCTCCATTTCATTCTAACATGGAATGATTGGTGATTTTATGAAAAAAACAATTTGACGATCAGTTCATGGCTGTGCGATCTGTTTATAACTTAAACTGAAACGGCCTCAATGGGTCGGTCACAATTGTGAACATACGATCATAGTAAGTGTTTTTGAACATTTCTTAATCCGTAAAGAAAAAATAGCATTTCTTGACAGCTGGATGCATGAATGAATGAATGCAATGTTTGAAAGACATCTCATATTTTCATTGTTCGAGCGTTTTGAAATGATAAAGCAGTTCTAAACTTAACAGCCGAAATTTCCACATGATTTCTATATAGATGTTCCTCAATTAATTCACACAGTTTCTATACCTGAACTTCTTGTCACTGTATTTTTTGTTGTTTTGCCATAACTGTATTATTATTTTTTGTTATTATTTTTTAAATTTTTTTGCCATTGTTATTATTTTTTACTTATTCAACCTATCCGCATGATGTCAGTGCGCTCCGCCTTTCATGCTGTACTATTTATTGCTTGTAGATATTTCTAACTCGGCAATAAACTATCTATCTATCTATTCTTCAGATGAAATTCATTTGTTGGATGCAAATGGCACAGCTCAAGTAATAACAATGAAACAGTTTTTATTCAATGAGGTTCAACAAACGAACGAATCGAACACGATCCATTTTGCCATATAACAACAATTGTTCGTATAAAAATAATCAGTGCAATCAATCTATAATAATCATATCAACAACAATCTCATTCCAAATGTTGCACATTCAAATTGGCTTTTAATGCCCTAGTGTTGATTCCATCTCATTCGTGCCATGACATGCCCAACACACGCTGCATAAAACTGTACATGTCCACCAATTCAGATATCTGAAAACAAAAAACAAACATCTTCGCTGCTAAAATGACCATCAAACAAAACTTCTGGTGGCACTTCTGCAATGTAAAATCTACTCTTTCAAATTGTACACTTCTCATCTGATCATATGCATCTGAGATTCTCAATTTCTTGCCTCCACTTAATTTTATACAATCAAAACATCTGTAAGCGATCAACAACGCCAATGAATAAATGCTAATTGAACTTTGACTAATGTCAAACACCACGGCTCACAGATTTTCACAGAGAAACCAGATCGGAATTTTCATGGCACATAGTTGAACTGAGAGTTTCTTATGGAATTCTTGACATTCTTGACAACGAGTGCGAAATATGAAATAAAATTGCTCTTTCAAACAAACTCACCACTTTACATGTTGGTTTACCAGAACCATGGCCAGCACGCACTTCCACACGGATAAGTATCGGATTACGTTGTACACCACTCGCATTATGTACCACCTCATATAACTGCGCTATGTATTTCAGAGAATGAGATGGTACCACGCGATCGTCGTGATCTGCCGTCATCAGTAATGTGGATGGCCATTGAACACCATTCGGAGGCATACGGATGTTGTGTAGAGGTGAATATCTGAATAATACTCACTAGAAATTTAGATCACGCTTGATATGAAAATCAAGCATTCAAGTATTCACAATACAAATCTTCAATTGTCAATCAGAGACGTGAACATAGAACTAAATATTAGGTTGCTTTATTTTTTTTTTGCTTAATTGTTGCTTAATTCTTAATTTTTTTGTTTCCTATTAATTTCATTGGGTTGTTCTTAATAAATGAAAAGTTGCTTCTTATATCAAAATTCAATGTTGAGAAGGAAACTAAGAACTGAGAATAAATGCAAAAACTAACTGATAAATATACGGAAAATCTGAAGCTTTGTCCGGATTGCCATATTCGGGTATCCATGCGCCACCAATAGTAAACTTATGGAAGCGTAACATATCCAGCACACTGCAATCAACTCACTTTTAAACGCCTCGAGATAATTCAGTAAACAACGATATAAGATGTGAAAATTGAACATGAAACTATAAAAAAAACGAAGCATATTCTTATGATGGACTAATAATAATAACGATAACAATTAAAACAACACTGAAACAACTCGTGACAAATCAAGTAAGCCACTACTCACCCAACACGATTTATAACGGCGCCATAGAGTTCCGGACGTTGTTGTGAGCATGCGGCCACTAAAAGACCACCATTTGATCCACCTTGAATGCATAGTCTAAAACTTTTCAATGTGAATTCAAGCTTATTCGTGAATCATAAATGTCTTTTCTTTTCAATATCCTCCTCACTGTCCCTGAGGAACAGCTCAGATTAGAATCAATAGACAAATTTTTACAATCGCTCAGTTAAGCCAATGAAAACTGCAAAGCGATATTTCTACCTGAATGATTCGCACAAATTGTTTTACAGACCAAAAAAGCGAATACAAGAATGAACAATGAACAGTACCCAATCACAGACTCAGTTCTAAATGTTGATTCTGATCAAAACATCTAGCATAAACCATCAAAAGGCAAACTTCTCTGGTGAGGTATATTTGTTTTTGATCAAGAATTCAGCAGCTGCAATAAAATCGTCGAAAACGTTTTGTTTCTGATGACGCATACCAGCCTCATGCCACTTCTCGCCATACTCACTGAATAAGTGCTACTGAGGAGACCGGAAGAGAATATGATTGAAATTTACACATCCAATGATACGAGTAAAGAACAACTCAAACTGCTTTATTCAACGCCAAAAGATATTTGAGTTTTTCACTTATTGTTAGTCTGGTATTCGATAGCCTGAAGTTTTCAAGAATCAAAGCCATGATTTTCACTCTTTGCTAATCAAAGAGATGGAGTGATACGTAGAATCGCAGATGCCTTAGAATAATCATGAAATCCGTAGAGATTATATGCAGCCCCTAGAAAGTACCATTTTCCAACAACTCCGAGAATAGCCATCATCGTCTCGAATGCAAACGAATTATGAACAACTGAAGCTAGGATTTCGGTGATACCTTCCTCCACGTAGACTGGCACAAGCGATGATACCGTTAAAGTGTTGCAAGAATAGCAAACGTGAAATTGAGAAGAACGGTAGTTCGGCAATGTTAAAACCACCATAACCGTTGAGCTGCGTTGCACTTTTACCATCCAATTTCAAATCCTTGTTATGCACTATATACATT